AAGAAGTTTGGACTTTATCTTATCAATGATAAGAAGTTTGGACTTTATCTTATCAATGATAAGAAGTTAGTTTGAACAACTAAATGCCATGATGCTGAGCAGCCTTAGATACAACTTCCATAAGAACTGGCACTTGTTTGGAAAGAACATCTTACATGTTCATGGTATTAATCTTCAATACAGATACCAGATTAGAGATAAAATATGTAAGATCTCATTACTGGAATAGGACCTGGTGATTATCTGATGAAGTCAGGCCATATAGCATAATGTTAACAAAAGCCTAGGTTTTTGAATCCAAGCCCTACCACTTAACACCTATGTAACTTTGGACAAGTGCCTTAACCTCTACAAACTTCAGTTTCTACTTTTGTAAAGTGGGATATTGATCGTACCTAACTCATACAGTTGTGCTGAGGGTTAAATGAAACAATGATTGTAAAGTTTTTAGCACAGTGCCTAGCAACTAGAGAGTGTTGAATGAAGATTACTTAGCTATTATATAACCTCCAACCAAGGGCAGGCATCCTTGATCAAAACCTTAGTCTCTTCAAAAATCCTTTGATGGTGAGCTCATTACCTAGAGATTCCAGTAGTTTTTTTTTTGTTGGGGCAGATTTTATTCACTCAATACATATTTATTTAGCATCTACTATATGCCAAGCACTCTTATATACATTAAGAAGTGTACAAAGTAGACAAAAATATCTTACCTGCACACACACATACTTATTTGTTTGTTTATATATGTCCTTCAAGTTGAGCTGGAAAAAAAAAAATGACCTCCCTACCCCAGACTCCCAACCATCTGTGCAAGATCTACTTGTTGGTACAATAGACGTTATCTTTACCTCTTTTTTATACGACAGCTTAGAACATCTAAGGACTACATTCTTCTCTAAACTGAAACTCGTTTTTCACAAAACAGTAGTCTTCGTGTTTTAGCTGTGTTTCTATGGATGTATATTTTAATTATCTTGTTAGGAACTCAGTGCATTTACAATAGCCATTTTCATTTCTGAGCTGCTTCATATTGTGTGTTAAATATAAGAAGCAGCATTGGGTAATGGAACAAGCACAGGTCTGGACTCAGATTAGCATAGGTTCAAACCCCTCCTCTATACCGTAGACAAGTCATTTAACAGCTCAGAGCTTTAATATACACATCTGCAAAGTGGGCTCAATAATATTTACTTTATTGTGTTGTCATGAAGACTAAATGAGATAAATTGTATAAAGCGTGGAGTACACAGAAGATGCTCGATGAGTTTCCCTTTCTTCAACCCTTGGCCTCTCCATCCCTTGCTATCTCTGGAATATTAATATCTCCTCAGTCTCCAACAGTGAAATGACTCTTTGGAGATTATTCTTTGTCGTCACTTTCTCATGCGAACCAAGCTGGCTGGCATCCTTCTTGAATAAACAGCCTTTATTTGTGTGAGCAAAGCAGCTTAGTCCCAGGGCGGGAGTCAGCACTGGGTCTTTGTCAGTATTTAGCAGAGCTGGCTAATAT